AGGAGGGCACGTTCTGCATGGAGCACTGGGTGTTATGCACAAACAATGAATCATGGAACACTACATCGAAAACTAATGATGTAATGTATGGGGATTAACATAAGAATAAAAAAAAAAAAAGAATCTTCTCGGAGACTTCACTTTCCAAATATAAAGTAGGAATTTCCACAACAACACAAAGGAAAGTATTAAACCATTCATTTCACTGAGATGAGGACACAGTACTTGTAAGAACTTTAGTGCCAGATGTAACTTTAACCACTCATTATTTTATGGAGAGCATTCTTATAATAAGCTAAAAGGATGTGGCTAAAAGTTTCCATAGAATAGGTATAACCTAACAGTAGGAAGCAGCTTAGTAGGCCACCTACACATGAATATTACCAAGAAACATTCCTTCAGTACATTCCACTGGCTATCAAATAGAATTGAATTTTGGCCAGAGAGAAAAGTAACTAGAGTCCATTTCAACACCGCAGAGTTCCTTAAACTGATTTTATGACTTGTTTTGCTTTTTTCTAAATGGTAAAAAGCAGCACAGTTTGGGCAAAAAGCTTTAAAAAATCACACACATGCCAACAACTTGAGTAGGTGCTTCACCTGCAGGAAAACCAGATTTTCAAGTTAATTCCAGGAACTATGCAAAAGGCTGTTAAAATGGATGCTAATTTTATGTATACTTTTCCAGTGTAATCCCTAACTCTATTTACTATTTGCCGAGAACACCATAAAAACCCACCTATGCCCATATTCTAGAGAGAAAAAAACCTGTCTTGCCAAGAAAAAAAATTAATTAAAGAGGAAGAAATGATATAGGATTATATCTTTAAATAGGTTGAGAATATCTGTTAAGAAACCAAAACTGATTTTTATAAGATCATTAATGTATCAGTGGTATCTAATCAGGTGACACATCACATACTATTTCTAGAAAGATATCAGACAATCTTAAGTTTTTTAAAGGTTTTCTTAAATAATTATCCCCATGGCCAATGTGAAAACCAAAGATAAGTAGTCTTTGTTTCAGAAAGGAAAAAAAATCTTACCAAAATGGAAGAATTTTCCTTTTTGATAGAGAAAATCCAATCAAATTTTAAAGAAAAACACAAAGGCTTCACTGATAATGCATCTAAAAAGAGAATATGCCTACATATATGTAAAGTTTCCCTATCTCTATTTCTATTGTTTTCACTTTCTTTGAACTTTATTCTTAATATTCATTGGTCTCAGGAGAGCTAACTCACAAGAGCCACAGTGTTCTTTCAGCAGCCATTAATCTCTGTGACAGTACCCTCTCTCAAGGTTAAATTCAAATACTTATTTTTGTTATAAATAAAAACAAAGCACTAAACCACTATTGATATGAGATTCCTCCCCTTTCAGTCTACTTTGTCGTATTAGAATATGACTAAAACTTGTAGTTTGGTCAAAAGACAAAGTGAGTATTACTACTTAAAGAATAAAAATATTTAAGGTAAATATTCTCAACTAACCAAAAACCCGACATTTCCTTTGTTAAAATATGCGAAGTCCTTAAAGGGTAACCTATGAAATTTTAGAGAATATTAGGATGCTAAATGTTGTAGCATCATACAAAGATTTTTTTTAATTTGTAACTAAACCTTTAAATTTTATTTTATTATTTATAACAATGATTATAGCTGTACTTAATGAACAATATTTCAATATTTCTGAAAAGAAATGTTTAAAAAGCCCTTAACCCAAAGCAGATATAAACTAGTTGAGAAGAGAAAGTGATTAAATCACACACGAACAATTATAAAATATTAAAAAGTAGAAAACAATAAAGTATAATTAAACACACAGGCTGAGGAATAAGGAATAAGACAATAACAAAACAGGGTGTAGAGGATCATTAACAAAGGTTCATTTAAGCCAGAATCTTAAAGTGGTAAAACTGGAAATCTAAAGAAAAAGGATTCTGTGTAGAAAAAGAGCCAGATTAGAAAATCAATAAACTATATTTAAGAAACATAAACACTATCAGCTTCTCTAGGATACAGTAGCTATGCTAGTAAGTATCTCACGTAAAAATGAGGTCAGAAATAAAGGTTTAGTTGATGGGAGATTCCAAAGGCCAGGCTAAGATGTTTGTGAACAAGGAGGGTTCTAGACATCTATTGATGCCACTGAAATCAATAAACACTTTTAGAGAGAACCGACTATGTACAAATGTACCAAAACCTGGTTGCCAAACTCAAATATGTTGGGGAAACAACACACAAATTACTAGTATATAATACAAAGTAAGCAAAAATAAGCTCTGAAATCAAAGCAGAAACAAAGTCTAATGGAATTACAACAGAGGGCCTGATTTATTCCAACTGTGAGGATTTAGGCAGGCAGCACAAAAGGGAGGGAGCATTTATCTGAACCTTAGAAGATGGGCAGGCTTTCAGCAGAGAGCTTTTCTAATCGCAACATCACCATCAGTCAATTCAGCTAAGATTATGCTTTCATATAATGTTTATTTAGGAAGGAAGCCCTTGTTGTTGGGATTTGCCTAGTTTCAGTTTTTTATACAGCAATTACTTAGGAACTGCACGATAACACACCTTGACATATCCAGCATATCACAGCACAGTGACAGTTCCATAATAGGCACTCAATAAATGTTTACTGAGGACAACTACAGATTATCCTGAAATCTTATTTAGCCAATTAAAGTAAAATATGGCTTACAAAAAATATTAATGAAACAACTCAGAACTAAATTTAATACAGAGCTAAGTTCTTGAGTAAGGAAAACAAAATTTGGCAAAATTAAATGCTGAGTATCAAGAAAGAGGCACTATAATTAAAAACATTGATAATAAGAAAGGCTCACTGCCAATATGTGCCGCATTGTTTTTATCATTCATGTCCTATATTGATGAATTTCAACTGGAATTGTAAAATAGTTTAGATGTCTGCATGGATCATACTAGAAACACTTTATTATTTTTTTTTTTTTTAGATTTTTATTTATTTATGTGACAGAGACAGAGAGAGACCCAGTGAGAGAGGGAACACAAGCAGGGGGAATGGGAGAGGGAGAAGCAGGCTTCCTGCGGAGCAGGGAGCCCGATGCGGGGCTCGATCCCGGGACTCTGGGATCATGACCTGAGCCGAAGGCAGACGCTTAACGACTGAGCCACCCAGGCGCCCCAGCCTGTTATATAATTTCAGATATAAAGATGCCAATTGAAACTTGTGAGCAATTAAATAATTTCCTATCAACAACCTATGAAATTGTTAGTAATGAAGAAAAATAAGACTCTCACGATACAAAATACCCTAAAATAATTTAAATTAAAAAGTAAAGGTAAGAGGCACCTGGGTGTCTCAGTTGGTTAAGCATCTGCCTTCGGCTCGGTTCATGATACCAGGGTCCTGGGATCAAGTCTCACATCGGGCTCCATGCTGAGCAGGGAGTCAGCTTCTCCCTCTCTCTCTGCCCCTTCCCCCGGCTGTGTGCACTCTGTCTCTCTCAAATAAATAAAATCTTTAAAAAAATATATAAGTAAAAAATGAAAGCCCAGAACAACTTAAAAATATTTGTAGATAAATATTTATGTGTTCCCAAAACAGGAATAAATGAACCAAAAAATGCCTGAGGAAAAGGCCAACATGGAGGGAGACATAACATTTGATTTACATTAACAAATGAAAATTTAAGACATGAATAAATACTTAGCCTCACTGGTAATCAGAGGAATATAAATTAAAACAAAACCTAAATATTTTCCATCCATCAGATTAGCATTTAAAAAAAAAGAGAGGAAGAGAAAATTGACAGTACTGACTGTTGTTGGCAAGAGGGAGGGAAAACTGGTATGCTGCTTTATCAAAAGGTGCTGCATTTAAGAAAATGTATACTATTCCTATAAGGACTATGCATTTTATAATCAATAAAATTTATATAAAAGATGAATGAAAAAAGAAATTAAAAACATGTCTGAAATGGATTTGTTATAAAGCCTAAAAATGGCTTCCACAGTTATAACTCCTCCAAATCTCTCCAGTAAAGATTTCATGATAATGCAACTGTGACACACTCTCTCATACCCAATTCGAAGTTGTAACGAGAGAAAAATGAAGCGGCAATGGCTTAGCAGTCTTAGCAGAAGTTTCAAAGGTTTCTAGCAAAGTTAATGATATTCTTCTCTAAAATTTAAACCTTCATTCTGACAGGCTAGAGATCCAGAAAGTCTCTGTTAAAATCATGGCTGAGCCACTTTGAAAACTGTGTGCATTTAGGCAAATAATTCAATTTCTCTGAGTCAGTTTCCTTATCTATAAAATATGTACAAAACCATCTGTCCCACAGGATCACTGTAAAGGTTAGAAACCATGAATGACCAAGGCCTAGGGCCAAGTACTGGGCCCATATGGGCACTTCTCATATCATCACTACTATTATTATGGACTCTAATTGCACCCTAATTTGTGAATAATTAGGTTTACACATCAATTATCACTCCACTGAAGTGAAAAAGTATAGTTTATAAATCCTGTATGACTATGAAACACGTTCTCTAAATTGAATGCTTAAAAAGGATGGAAAGAAAGAGGGAGAGGGCAAAATGGAAAAGACAGGGGAAAAGGGAAAAGAAGAATGAAAAACAAAGAAGGAAGTTAAACAGACACGGACCAGATTTAGCAATGCACTTTAATGAAGGAAAACGGTAAACAGTAACACTGACCATCCTAAAGCTTAAGAGAACCCACTCATTAAACTGACATTGAACTTACCAATTTAAATGCGATCAACTTGAAGCAAGGTGAACTTTCTCCTATGCTGAGGTGTCCTCACAAAGCTGTGGAATAAAACTTGCCTTTTCTATTTAAAGCCATTCCTTTATTGCTAAACAGTCGGTCTCAGAGGAAGGCAGCAAGCAGGGTTAGAAAGAGAAAAAAGAGGAGGATAAAGATGAAGAGGAAAACAACATGCAATTATGGATCAAATCTCTCCTTTCAGATCGTCCAGGTGTTCTAACCTGTAGTTGTTGGGAGCTGTCATTGAGATTATCCTCCCTTCGTCGAGCCTCCTCAAGCATCTGTGCACTCTTCTTCTTTTCCACCTGCTCCTTGTGCTTCAGATTTGCCACCTTCTTATTCTGGTCTTTCACTTGCCTATTGAAAAAGGGGAGAAAAGCCAAGCTTTTCATATATATGCATAGAGAAGAATATTTTCATTTACAAATCTATACCACCGACACCAAGTAACAGCTGAAAACCAACAAAGAATTCTTCCTGAAAGATTTTTCTAACAATTCAAAATTCTTTCCTACCAAGAGTAGCAAATTGGTAAAAATGATGTTTCAGAAACTAAGTTTTAGCATGTACTTTATGAAGCACAAGACCATAAAACAAAAGAAATGCATGGGATACTCTGAAGAAATCAATTCAGATATTTATGTTGGAAATAGGGAAAGGCTACCAACATCAATGCTATGAAACAGTAGAGTGGCCAATTAAGGTTTGGTAATCTAACACTAATTTTACTATTATTAAATATTTCAAACTTTCAAAAGACTATATATAATATATATGAATCTGAAAATAATGATGTAACAATCTGGGAACCCATCTTAAGCAACAAAAGATTATACGCATTTGTGAAGTTCCCAATCCTATTCCACTGCCTCCACGCTAAAATAAGAATTACTTATGGGGGAAGGAGAAAGATGGCAGAGGAGTAGGAGACCTAAATTTTGTCCGGTCCCAGGAATTCAACTAGATAGGGATCAGACCATTCTGAACACCTACAAACTCAACAGGAGATGGAAAAAAAGAATAGCAACAACTCTCTGAACAGAAAAGCGACCACTTTCTGGAAGGTAGGACGTGCGGAGAAGTGAATCCGAGGCGATAATCGGGAGGATAGATGGTGGGGGAGGGGGCCTCCGTCGGCTGCTTCTGGCAAGTGATAGAGCAGCAGAGCACAAAATCGGAACTTCTAGAAGTCGGCTCCACTGAGGGACGTCGCTCCAGTGAGTAAGCGGGGGGTGGAACCCTCGCAAGACAGTGTGGTCTCAGGACCCTCGGGGTCACAGAAAGACCGGGGGTGCCCAAGTGCGGCAGAGCTCCCAGGTATGGGAGCAGGGAAGCCAGCTGCAGAGACGGAGCCAAGGAGTGGGCTCTCAGCTCGGGGTTGCCATAAACCGTGATCGGCGCACAGTCGGGCCCCTGCTCTTCCAGCAGGGACCAAACAAGAGTCTCCCCTTCCTCCCCCAGGAGGAGCTGTGCGGGAGTGCACCGCAGGGATCTGCTGGGTTTGGAGACTCCACATGGGGTCGGGTGCCAGAGATAGAAACGCTCGGTCACAGGCCGGGTGAGCATGGAGTGCGGCCGGAGACCGGGGAGACAGGAGTGACTGACTGCTTTTCTCTGGGGGCGCACTGAGGAGTGGGGCCCCGAGTTCTCGGCTCCTCCGGGGCAGAGATTGGGAGGCCGCCATTTTCACTCTCGTCCTCCAAAGCTGTAGGGAAAGCTTGCAGGGAACAAAAGCTCCCAAGAGCAAACCTGAGCAGATTACTTAGCCCGGACCCAGCAAGGGCGGGGCAATTCTGCCTCCGGCAAAGACTTTTGGGAACCACAGCAACAGGCCCCTCCCCCAGAAGATCAACAAGAACAGCCAGCCAAGACCAAGTTTACCGATCACTGAGAACGGCAGAACTCCAGCCCTAGGAGAATAATGCACATAGAATTCATGGCTTTTTTACCATGATTCTTTAGTCTTTCAAAGTTAGTTTTTTTTTTAACTATCTTTTTTTTTAATTTTTCTTTTTCCCTTTTTCAACCAACATCTTATCAATCCTTTTAAAAATATATTTTTTATTTTTCATTTTTAGAGTCATATTCTATCCCTTCATAGTAGTTACTCTTATTTTGGGTATATATAAATAAGTTGTTCTCTCTTTAAAATTTTGGGACACAGTTTTTTCTAACAGACCAAAATATACCCTAAATCTCTAGTGTATGGCTTTGTTCTAGTCTCCTGCCTGATCACATTCTCTCCCTTTTTTTTTTTAAATCCTCTTCTTTCTCTTTTCAACCAACTTCTTATCAATTTGTTTTATATAATCTTTTATAATTTTCATCATTACAGTCATATTCCATCCCTTCATCGTATTTACCCTTATTTTTGTACATATATAAGTTTTTCTTTCTTTAAAATTTTGGAGGCACTTTCTTCTAACAGACCAAAATACACCCAAAATCTAGTGTGTGGCACTGATCTATGCACCAGCCTGATCATATCCGATCATATTCTGTTTTTTGTTTGTTTTTATCTTGTTCTTTTTCTTTTTGCTTTCTTTCCCTTTCTTTTCCCCAGGTTTCAGGTCTCTTCTGATTTGTTTAGTGTATATTTTTCTGGGGTCGTTGTTACCCTGTTAGCATTTTGTTCTCTCATTCATCTATTCTCTGGACAAAATGACAAGACAGAAAAACTCACCTCAAAAAAAAAGAACAAGAGGCAGTACCAACTGCTAGGGACCTAATCAATATGGACATGAGTAAGATGTCAGAACTAGAGTTCAGAATGACGATTATAAAGATACTAGCTGGGCTTGAAAAAAGCATGGAAGATATTAGAGAAACTCTTTCTGAAGAAATAAAAGAGCTAAAATATAACCAAGTCGAAACCAAAAAGGCTATTAATGAGGTGTAATAAAAAATGGAGGCTCTAACTGCTAGGATAAATGAGGCACAAGAGAGAATTAGTCATACAGAAGACCAAATGATGGAAAATAAAGAAGCAGAGAAAAAGAGAGATAAACAACTCCTGGATCATGGGGCAGAATTCGAGAGATAAGTGATACCATAAAGCGAAACAACATTAGAATAATTGGGATCCCAGAAGAAGAAAAAAGAGAGAGAGGGTCAGAAGATATATTGGAGCAAATTAAAGCAGAGAATTTCCCTAATTTGGGGAAGGAAACAGGCATCAAAATCCAGGACGCACAGAGAACCTCTCTCAAAATCAATAAAAATAGGTCAACACCCCGATATCTAATAGTAAAACTCACAAGTCTCAGAGACAAAGAGAAAACCCTGAAAGCAGCTCGGACAAGAGGTCTGTCACCTGTAACAGTGGAAACATTAGATTGGCAGCAGACCTATCCACAGAGACCTGGCAGGCCAGAAAGGACTGGCAGGATATATTCAGAGCACTAAATGAGAAAAATATGCAGCCAAGAATAAAGAATACTATATCCACCTAGGCTGTCATTGAAAATAGAAGGAGAGAGAAAAAGCTTCCGGGACAAACAAAAACAAAAGGAATTTGCAAACACCAAACCAGCCCTACAAGAAATATTGAAAGGAGTCCTATAAGCAAAGGGAGAGCCTAAAAGTAACATAGACCAGAAAGGAACACAGACAATATACAGTAACAGTCACCTTGCAGGCAATACAATGGCACTAAATTCATATCTTTCAAGAGTTACCCTGAATGTAAATGGGCTAAATGCCCCAATCAAAAGACACAGGGTAACAGATTGGATAAAAAACAAGACCCATCGATATGCTGTCTGCAAGAGACTCATTTTAGACCCAAAGAAAACTCCAGATTGAAAGTGAGGGGGTGGAAAACCATTTACCATGCTAATGGACATAAAAAGAAAGCTGGGGTGGCAATCCTTGTATCAGACAAATTAGATTTTAAACCAAAGACTATAATAAGAGATAAGGAAGGACACTATATCCTACTTAAAGGGTCTATCCAACAAGATCTAACAACTGTAAATATCTATACCCCTAATATGGGAGCAGCCAATTATATAAGGCAATTAATAACAAAAGCAAAGAAACACATCGACAACAATACAATAATAGTGGGGGACTTTAACATCCCCCTCACTGAAATGGACAGATCGTCTAAGCAAAAGATCAACAAGGAAATAAAGGCTTCAGATGACACACTGGACCAGATGGACTTCACAGATATATTCAGAACATTCCATCCCAAAGCAACGGAATACACATTCTTCTCTAGTGCCCATGGAACATTCTCCAGAATAGATCACATCCTAGGTCACAAATCAGGTCTCAACCGGTACCAAAAGATTGGGATCATTCCCTGTATATTTTCAGACCACAATGCTTTGAAACTAGAACTCAATCACAAGAGGAAAGTCAGAAAGAACTCAAATACATGGAGGCTAAAGAGCATCCTACTGAAGAATGAATGGGTCAACCAGGAAATTAAAGAAGAATTAAAAAAATACATGGAAACCAATGAAAATGAAAACACAACTGTTCAAAATCTTTGGGATGCAGCAAAGGCAGTCCTAAGAGGAAAGTATATAGCAATACAAGCCTTTCTCAAGAAACAAGAAAGGTCTCAAATACACAATTTAACCCTACACCTAAAGGAGCTGGAGAAAGAACAGCAAATAAAGCCTAAACCCAGCAGGAGAAGAGAAATAATAAAGATCAGAGCAGAAATCAATGAAACAGAAACCAAAAGAACAGTAGAACAGGATCAACGAAACTAGGAGCTAATCTTTGAAAGAATTAACAAGATTGATAAACCCCTGGCCAGACTTATCAAAAAGAAAAGATAAATGACCCAAATAAATAAAATCATGAATGAAAGAGGAGAGATCACAACCAACACCAAAGAAATACAAACAATTATAAGAACATATTATGAGCAACTAAATGCCAGCAAATTAGATAATCTGGAAGAAATGGATGCATTCCTAGAGATGTATGAACTCCAAAACTGAACCAGGAAGAAACAGAAAACCTGAACAGACCTATAACCACTAAGGAAATTGAAGCAGTCATCAAAAATCTCCCAACAAACAAAACCCAGGGCCAGATGGCTTCCCAGGGGAATTCTACCAAACATTTAAAGAAGAATTAATACTTACTCTTCTGAAACTGTTCCAAAAAATAGAAATGGAAGGAAAACTTCCAAACTCATATTATGAGGCCACCATTACCTTGTCCTCAAACCAGACAAAAACCCCATTAAAAAGGAGAATTACAGACCCATATCCCTGATGAACATGGATGCAAAAATTCTCACCAAAATACTAGCCAATAGGATCCAACAGTACATTAAAAGGATTATTCACCACGACCAAGTAGAATTTATTCCTAGGCTGCAAGGGTGGTTC